TAGTATCTTAGTAAGTTACGCAGGAAATTAACTTGATCGCTATCTTAAATAAAAGCCGCAAATGCGGGGGTAAGCAGTATTTACGCGGGAAACCACAAATGAAGCCGCTAGCTAATCATAAAATCACTGAAGTTTAGGCACGTAGGTAGGAAAACTTACTGAAAGAACACGAAACAATTTTAATCAAATTAAACAGCGATTGATCGACTAAGGCATAGCTTGTAGGAATTGAAATCTACCTGAATGCGCGGAAGCAGGTCGCAAAGTGAAGCGAAAGCCACCTACCAACAAACAGGTTAAACTGAACGACGTTTTTGAGTTGACTAGCACTTTGTTCCAGTTAACATGTCAATTAAGCATTTTATTTCATTTCAAATCACAAGTTCGCGCAATTGCAAATCAACGGAATTCCTGCGAAACGGTCTGTTGAACAAATCATCCGATTTTTTGTTGAATTTAATTTTTGTTTGTTTGTTTCTCTCGTTAAAAAAACAAACAAACAAACAAACAAACAAGCAAACAAAATCTGGAGTCCACTTGTTTATTCTCTTTGGCTAAACTCATTGGATTATCCCTTATGGCAAGTGATTGATACAGAAACGAGGCACACTCCTCTTTTAGCGAATATATCTCCCTTTCAGCATGAGTATGAAAGCGCAGCGTAAATTACACCTGGAAAACGACATAATCTGTGACTGATTTCAGTAGAGAGACAGCTTTCGTTTCGTTACGCAATCTTAAAGGCAGGAATGTTTATTTTTTCATCAGGGCTATCGACCTCTTTGACCTCTTCTGTCGGCTCACTGATTTAGATGCGCCGGGTTGATTTGTCTACGGAAGCCGTGGTGGTTTTTCAAGAGCTTTTAATTTAAACTGAAAACGATTGCGTGCTACAGTGAAAAAAGTAAAAGGAAATCGAGTTTCCAACACACTCGTGATTGTTTTTGTTTCTCGTGCGATTAACTTGAATAACAACATAAAAATCTCAAACTGCAATTTACTTGCGGGTTAAAAGAGTCGCCTCTTGACAGTGATCGATCTGCGTTTGATTCACTCATACTGTGCGTACAATGAGAAGTCAATGCATGTGTAATTTTATCATTTTAAAAAGTCATATTCCGTGCCGTAGAAAAGAATAAACTACTCCGATAAGAGTTGACCTCCATTGTCCGGGTGTTTGTGTAAGTTTTCAAAGCGATCTTTAATCATTTCTTAATTAATTTCAGCTCATTTCAGCTTTTGCTATGTTGGGAACCCCAGACCAAAGGAAAAACCTCGAAAAGCTTAGTGCTAGGGTAGGAACTCTCGCCTCAAAGCCACTGAAGGAAATTCTACAGTTTATTCTTTTCAAGAAAATAATAAGTCTTTTTAATAACTAACACATCTGAAGACTTCGGATTATTTGAAAGCTCAACAGGTATCAATATCAAATAGACAGAAAATTAAATAAACGAGCCCCTCAAACTCAACGCAATATCCTTTGTAATTAATTACTCTTTGAAAAAAAATTATCCGCATTTT